TAGTTATTTTAATTATGAATTCGAATTAAGAAGCCTTTAATTTAAATTTTAAACAACTACCCTAATTCACTTATAAAACAATAACAACTCCCGCTAAACAAAATTACCCTGTGATCGATCTAATTTCTTGTTAAGATTCAAATTAATTATATATGTATTTGAATTAATTGCTACACAAACAAGATCCATCAAGTCATTCTAAGCTTGCAAATTAACATATGTATTGCTAAATGTATAGAAGCAACTGCACTAGGCTCAAACTTCATTCGAACTCCAAATCTAAATCACAAGTGACACTGAGCTTGGCTATTTTATGGCCTTCCCATAAAACCCTCTAGTTGGCCCATGCAAACACTAATTGAAGAATATAATCTCCATTATTTGGTATAATTGAATATAAGCTGTTGGATATAGTGTATGGCCAGCCCAGGGATGCATTGTCTCACTGACTTTAGGGTAAATGGGAGACTGTTAGGTTCATGTTTATGAAATTATAAAGCCTCGTAACTTATATCTTATAAATACAATAATTATTTTATTTTTTATGTGAAATATTTCTTATCTATTTATGAAAATCATAGGTTCCTATTGTAATTTTGTGATATACCAAAGGGGATCATGTTCCAGAAGTAACTTAGAGAGTGTACAATATATGAATAATTTAATTGGATGCGCTATCCTAATCACCTTGTTGATACAACTCATTTTGTAAATTTGAAAAATGATTTGATTATTACCGTTCGTGGTAGACATGTGAGTTGAGGTATCTCTTCCCAAACACTTTTTATTTTAATTGAATTTTTAATTTTAGGAAGAGATTAGGAAATGTCTATTTCTCCTAATTTTTTAGAACATTAGTCGGTTGGTGGTTTATCCATGGATTGGTTTCTTTTGTTAAATAAAAGAAAACAAAACAAAAACAAAAAAAAATGAAAACAAAATTAAATTGAAACCCTAAAACTCATTTCTTTTTCCCCTCTAACCGCCCCTTCCCCCCTTCCCCCTTATCCTTCTTCTCCAATAGCCCTCGCCGGCAACACCAGCAGCGACCCAGTCCAGCAGCGACGGCAACGCGTGTTTTGGACGGGTTCTCGACGTCCTCCGACCTCCGACTCCCAGATCCGGTGCTCCTTCGACACTCTCTCAGATCTGACGCTCTTCCACGAATCCAGCGGCCGGTGACCCGATTGGTTGGTCTTCAGCGGCGATGCAGCTTTCCACAACCCAGATCCCGCGACACGCGACTTTTTCATTCAGACCTGATTGGTTGGTATTTTCGTTTGGGCAAACTTATCTTCTATTTGCTTATGTTCCTCATAGTAATCTTCAGTTTTTGACTCTGCGCCCGAGGATATAGACATTCGCTCCACTGTTCTTGAATTATATAGTATTTAGTTAAACCATCTGACTTGAAATTGAATCCATCCTCTATTTTGAAATGGGATATGATTTGGTGAGAAACAGTCAAATTCTTTATTCATTGCAAAGTTATAAAAAATAATGTTGTTACACTAATTTTGAGATTGTTACGAGGGTTTTGGAAGCTTTATACCCAAGTCTCTTGTTATCTTGAGGCTAGTATTTTGTTAATAATACATTTCTCCAGGGAACATACCAACCAACAGAAGATAAGCTTCTCTGACAACCCAATATGCTCCAACATTAATCAATTATCATTGAAACTAATTTGATGTTAAACAATTTATCTCAAAGTTTTAAAGTAGTTGTCTATATGTTTGTGCTYTTTTGCTGTTGCATTCTTCTGAACGAGGTTTTTCTTTAGGCCTAATCCAAATTATGTATAGTAGGTTTAACATCATAGTGATTGATCACTATAACAGAGAGATGGGTTGCTAAAACTATATTCTTTTGGGTAGAAACGGAGGTTGCTAAAACTATAGCTAGGAGTCACAATTAAATGATCGAAATATTTTGTCATAATACGTATGACCTCCCATATTAGATACTTCTACATTATCTGACGTCCGTTGTATGTATGACCTCCCCTTTTAGATTCGAGTCATTGTATGTATGACAATTAAACGATAAAAAACTATAGGTGTCATATGCATGACCTCCCATTTTTGATACTTCTACTTTACCTGACGTCCATTCGTGATTCTCAATCAACATTTTAAAGAGTAGCTTTTCTTTGAAGTAGCCCATCCAGTAGAAGTGAATGATAATGTAATTCTGGTTTTTCACTCTGTTTTAGTGACTCTCGACGCTTACTCATGCCCAAACGAATCCTGATCTGTGATACCCACACCTTGTTGTCATAAGATCTACAAGCCCCAACACTTTCGCTATCGTTTCAGCAAGGTTCAGTGAGTAACGACCTTTTGAACACCCTTTTAGACAACTTTAGTAGTCAAAACTGAGTTGTAACGTGCTGATTTTACCTTGTTGCCTAGGTTTCAAGAGTGTTTAGGCAAGTTGTAAGTAGCACTTACTTAGAGGGATATTTTTTGTGTGCTTAGTATGAATATCATGTTTGAATCTGTGTGTTTTATCTCTTAATGCTCGTTGGATATTGTTGCTAGATGTTTCTCTATGAATGTTGGATATTCTGGTTGACTATGATTTATTCTAGTTGTTTATAATTGTTTGAATATGCTCTGTTATGACTACAATCACTATAAAACATTATATTTTTCTCATCAAGTATATATACATTACATTTTGAATGAAAATAAATAGTTCTTGTTTTGTCTAGATTATCGACCGTCACAAAAATATTTTTTAGGACGATTATCGACCGTCACGAAATATTTTTTTCGTGACGTTTAAGGATGTCACGTGACCTTTCCTCTCTGTTCAAGGTCTTTCTGTGACCTTGTATCACCGTTACGAAATCATTTTTCATGACGTTTTATGAACGTTGTGGAAGTCCATGTCTTTCATGACGGTAATTAACCGTCACGTGTACTAATTTTTGTGACGTTTTTTAAACGTCTCGTATACCTTTCGTGATGGGCGTATACATGAATGCGTTAAAAACGTCTCAATAAATCAAATTTCTACTAGTGAAGATTTATTTTAAGATTAAATTAGACGTTTATGATTGTCAAGATATATTATTGATTAAATTAAAATGTCACTTACAAAATCATCTAAATTAAATATATTTATTAAAATAATACAAATTAGAAAAATCTAAAGAACTTTATTGAGTTTTTCTTTAGATTTTTCTAATTTTACTATCCAATAATTCAAAAACCTTAGATGCATAAAAGAAACACTAAACCTTACATGCACATTATTTTCTCTTCATTCGCTCTCACGTGTTCCACATTCATCTTCTTTCACTCTCACATGTTCCACCTCCTTCATGTTGGCTCCCCTCCTTTTTAGCAATTCAATGTCGCCATTGACACCCTTCTACAATACAATAATGTAATTCACTTAGTCTTGCTGTTTCATTTCCTATTGATTCTTAAATGACATTTACTAAAAGAGAAAAAGATCCTTGAAAATAATAGAAGATTGAGTTTTCATGAGAAAAAGTTGGGAGTAAGAGAAAGAAAAAGTTATTTTATAATATTGTTGTAGGAGATTAAGTTACAAAACTTTTGAAGTTTCCCGAGTAATTATTAAAATAACTCATAATTTTGTAAACTTATTTTTATAAATAAAGACACCAAACTTTACATATTCCAATTCTTCATATTCATTTTTCAAGACAAACTATTTATATTCTAACTTTTGTCATTATTAAATATTAAAAACAATTAACACTTAATCAATAATTTATGGAAAAAGTAAATTTTAAAAAATAGTAGAGAGATGGGAGAATATGTATGGGTGCGATGAAAGGAAATGAAAACTTGAAGAGTAATTTTGAGATAAATCAGTGTAATTTTTTAGAGAGATAATAGTAAATAGAAATGGAGGAATGTGAATGAATGATGTAATTTGGAGAGAGATGGAGAAATGTGGATGGGTAGTGTATTTTGTGAGAGAGAAAGAGAGAGGGGGAGAAAAATAGTATAATTTTAGATAGGGGTGAAAATCTGGCGGTTTGGTTCGGTTTTCGGTCAGAGAAAAAGAACCGAAATCGGTTCGGTTAAATAGAGGCAAGAACCGAACCGAACCGGTTTGGGGTTTTTTTTTTCCTTCCTTCCTAAATGTAAATTTTAAATTATGTTCTAACAAACCTAACATTACATGTGATTAAAATACGTGATCACGTAAATAACATCTATTCTTGAAGTTTGGAAGATAGTGTCTAGAAGTTGAAAGAAACAAGATTCTAAATATCTTTTTAAGTAAACAAATATTCCAATAATGAGATTTACAAAATTCTAATAAAAACTACAAATGTAACAAGTTCAATCTCGACTTCTATCATGACTCCAGTTCCATCTCTAGACTTCAGAACTCTACAAAAGAACAAGAATTGTTACTTAATATCTAGTATAAAATAAATTATTAATGAAATAGAGATAAACAATATTTGAGAGTACAAGTTAAAACCGTAATCGATCTCCTTAAGTATGCTTGAGTATTCTAAATAAGAAAGGAAAACAATTAGTTTATCAAAATTCATAAAATAAAATAAACAAAATTTTCAAACAAATATTATAATGACGTGACTTCTTACCTTCATCAATTTCTTATGCTCCATCGATTTCTTCACACATGTCATGAAAAGGTTTAGATTGAAGCCAATTTTGATCACAAATGAGTGCCTCTGTAGCTTGAGGAGTTAATGAACTCCTAAACGAATCCAACACTCGTCTTCCAGTACTAAAAGCTGACTCAGATGGAACAGTAGATATAGGAATGTTGTAGATGTCCGTAGCTACTTGGTTAATAACCTTAAATTGACTATAATTCACCTTCCACTAGTTTAATAAATCAAAAATTTCATCTTCAGCACAAGTCTCATCTAGATAACGAGTGACTTCTGTTTTTCCATCATATGGATCATTTTTATTACTCTGTTTATATCTATCATGAACAACATGTTTATATCTATCATGAACAACAACACATACCTTATAAATTCCAATTCCACCAGATGCACTAGAAGAAGTAGATGGTATTTCACCTTGACCATTTGATGCTTCTACGAGTTTCGATTGTGTTTGGGAGTGATATTCCTTTGGCAGTGACATTCTTGTATAATAGTCATCACAAAATCGACGTAATGTTGCTTCAACCTTATTTTTCCACAAATTTGCACTTTCTTCTTCCAGAAATTCACGAAAGCAATAACTCACATAATTTAACTTATATCTAGGGTCAAAAACTACTGCAACGTATAACAATAAGTTGATCTTCTCACTTGTAGTTACACCCCAATACTTGTTAAATTTTGTTTGCATGCTTAATGCCATTTTACTCAACAAGTCATTTTTATACAAAGAGTATTCACAAATTGTTTCCTGAACCAAACACACTTCATGGAAGAATATATTCGAAGTCACAGATATGGATGTTGAAA